ACACTAAATGTCCAGGGAGAGTCACCTAGAATATCTCATTGCGAGATATTGGAAGAAGAGCGGGCTAGGGGAGACCATGTCATTGTTGTATTTCCAATTTTTTGGGGTATTGCGGCTATTGGGCAAGCAGACATAAAGAGAGTAAAGTTTCATGAAGGCACTCTTGTGAGGCTAACAATAGAGGCCATGATGGCCGAGGCACGAAATGCCTTACAACACATGAGGCAGAGGTGAAACCGGAGGGTCAGATATTCTCAATAGTTGATGTTTTCTTTGTATTTGGATAGTTTGTATTTTGTAAACAATGTATAGTTTTCACTTTGACTTAATATCTGGGATTTTGCTTAAATTAATAATTCTGTATATTTTGTATAAATGGCTTAAAATATAAGTTTTATTAAAATGTGTCAAATTTATAACAAAAATATTTTCGAGAAGGAATATTTATTATCTTGAGGGTTAATACTAAAGTTAACTTCTATATCATCCAGTAGTTGTTGGGAAATAAAGTCATTATCATGAGTGTAAATATGTTGAGGAGTTATTCAATAACGTAACCAACATACTCACCCTTTCATTAATACAATAGTTAACTTTTGTACTAATTTTTTTCAAATTGGAGGTGACTCACTTACGAAGTGTTTTGATGTGTATAGGGGCGTCCTAAGGTTAACGTATTTATTATTTCAACGAAATTTTCAAGTTTCCTAAGGGTGGCTCTTCACCATTAAGGGCGGGAAGAGCAACCCTCTAATTTCCTTTCCTAGCCACCCAATCTAGTTGAGACTAGTAAATAATGAGATTATTTACAAAATAAAATGATTATAAAAGACATCTTTCATCCATAAGTTGGTTTTTTACACAAACTTCTACAAAGGCTACACAAAATGAAGAAAAAAAAAGAAACTTATGTGGCAATAGCTCAACCTAAACACCCCATTATAATAGTCATTATGTTTTCTTCATTAAAACAAAAAGGACATGTCATGTTGTGACTTCCTTAAATGACACCTCTACTTGCAAGGTGACAGTTTTTTGGTAATCTATTGATTAACATTCTCCAATCAAATAGATGCACTTTGCTGGGTACCATTGCCTTCCATAAAGAATCCAAATCTCTAAGCATTATATCATCCATTCGACTAAATGTACCATAAACCTCTCGTTGTCTTGCATAGCTACTACTGAATGAGAAGCCATTGTTGGTCCTCCACCAGAAAAATTCATCCATGACTTCACTTGAAGGTTGCACATTTAGCAATAGGGAAGAATAAGAAAGGGAGATTGAAGACGAAACGCTACTCAAACGATAGGGCATATAAACTTCCCAGCTAATATTCCCGAGATTAGTGATGAACAATTCAATAAAGCGTACTAGTATCGTCAAAGTAATAAATAAATTTGTCTCTACCGGGATTTCAAATTTTAACAAGGTATCTATCATGTGAGTAAAAGTAAATAACAAAAAGGGAGGTTTCATAGTTATTCAGTTTGAGAATAAAAATGAGAATATCCACTGAGTTGAATTTAATAATTAAAAGAGATTACATCTTCTTTCAACGTCCCTACTCATATAATCAACAAGTATGAGTAATTGGTTCCCTACTAAGTAAATATCCCCGAATAGATCTTAAAAGTAATTGTCTACCAATCTATTCGGGGATGAGTGAAAACTTAACTTACTAAGTATTGGTTCAAATTGTAAGATACATTTTCTAAAACCATGGAATTTCCTAAATAATGAATTTAGATATATTTTGAAAATGACAGAGGATTGTTGGAGAACTTTTCAAAATATTAAACTAATAAATAATAATGATTAAATTGATTTTATGAATCTTTTTAATCATAAATAATGGCTATGTGTTGTAGGGGTTATGACTTTTGCTATAAAGTAAATGGCTAAAAGTTGCACCTGTCTAGAATGAAACCAAAGACCCTGTAATGATTGAGTGTGTGGTCATAAGATGCAACAACCAGACCTACACAACTTTTCGTGAAAAGATTTGCTGCTATTAATATATAATGGTTCGCGAATGATCATGTTGAAACCATTGAAACATTGTTTCTCCTCACCAATTGGTACAAGTTTTTCTATAAATAGAGATACTTGTTAGGCATAAAATATATACGAAAATAATATATTTCAAAGTCAAAAATGTATATCTAAGTCATTTCTTTATTTTTCTTTGAACGAGAAAAAGTGAAGGAACTTTATTCTGTAAAATATCGTTGATCGATATGCTTAATGTGAATGTGCAATTCATGTTAAGATTTCTAAAGTATCTTGGAGGGGATTCGTCGGATTATCCATTTGCATCCAATTTGCCTAAATTAGTGGGGCGAATCGAACCTAAAGTTTAGTGTAAACACATGATTTGGAATTTATTTTGTGCAACTTTCATCATAACATCTTCATCTTATTCAAGTTTTGCAGCAGACCCCTAACACAAGATCTAACAATCTTTAGGTCCGAATTTCTATTTTGATCGATATTTTATTTATAATTAATATTGAAGTATACAACTTTAAAGAAAATGCTAAAACCTTTCAATGATGGTGAAAGGTACATCATGTGCAATAAATTTATATATATGCATGATTTATAAATTATACAAGTATGTGAATTTGAATATTTAAAAATATATTTGATTTATGGTGTATACTTGAATGTAAAATACATGTTAAATATACTCTTTGGTATAAGTAATTTATTTTAGTTAATAATAAATTAGTTTTGGATGAAACGATTTGGTATAAAAAAATCATGAATTTGAATTAATGGTGGGTATATTAGTAACATAATGTAAATAAAATGTTAAAAATATAAAGGACATGATTAAACTGTATTTTAATTTGTGCAATAATTTATTAAATTTAAAATAATTTATCTCATATTATATATTATATGTGTATCATAATATAAAAGTATTATTTCTTGTTCATCTTGATATTAATTAAAAGTAATTTTGGTATATTTTAGATTATTATAACTTGACAAATATTTATGAAGAAAAGTTATAGAAAATATTAATGATATGAATTCATTGTTTACTTTTGTATTTTGATTTTTATTTGAATATACCATAGGACATTGTTAAATATGAAAAAAGAATCTATCACGTAGAATTTGTTATGCAAAAAAATTGTTTGTTTAAAGAATAGAAATGAATTCTACGGTGTTGTATTTATATGGAGTTTATGAATTACATATTTGAATTCACTTCATGAAATAAAAATTGGTCATGACAAATTTGTTTGATTGTGTATGTCGATTGCTATAAATGTTTAATGCATTAAATATATTTCGGATATATTTTAGTAGAAGTAAAACTTCAAATTAAAAAGATTAACAAATAAAGAATGACATAAAATTTGTGTATATGACAAAAGTGTCATAGTGATAGTTTGTCAAAACTATCAAGAATATAAATATACTTTGTATATGATAAATGTACTAATGTGTTAAAAGTGTCATGGTTTGATGATAGATGGCAAATACTACCAAGAGAACCTACAATAATCATATACATGAATAGTTGAAAAATTGAATATTTAGAATTTATTAAAGTTTAAAAAAATCTTGCAATTCTTTGAAGAAAGAATTGACAAAGATATGATGTCTTTGGAATAATTGAACATAATGAAGACATCATTAGGGATGTGAAACAAGTTCATATCTAACTAATCATCAATAGTGGAAACTCAACTCACACTTGATTAACATTATGTCTTGTGTTCAATGATGAAAATACAATATTAGACTGATTGAATATTTGACAATAGATACATCCCAAGGGATAGAAGTACTTAGACTATAAGAATAAATGTGGTAGGATGAGATTTTTCCTCATAAAAGACATATAATGTATGTTTGATGGAATACATAATTATGGATGCATTTATAATATAGGCTACCTATATGAGAATGAAGTGGTGCCGCTTCATTGAGTTCAAGAGTTTAACTCTTGAATTCTCATAAAAATGATACGAGACACAAGGTCTTATTAAATGTGTCATATTAATAATTCAATCAATGGTACAAGTTTTTCTATAAATAGAGATTTTTGTTAGACATAAAATATATAAGAAAATAATATATTTCAGAAACAAAATTTATATAAGTCATTTCTTTATTTTTCTTTGTACGAGAAAAAGTGAAGGAACTTTATTCTATAAATTATCATCGATCGATATACTTAAAGTGAATGTACAATAAATTATCGTCGATCGATATACTTAAAGTGAATGTACAATTCATGTTAATGATTCTAAAGTATTTTGGAGGGAATTCGTCGGATTACCCATTTGCATCCAATTTGTCTAAATTGGTGGGAGCGAATGGAATCTAAAGCTTAGTGTAAAACACAATTTAAAATTTATTTTAGACAACTTTTATCATAACATCTTCATCTTCTTCTTATTCAATTTTTACAGTAGCCCTCAACACAAATCTATCAAAAAAAACTTTGTAAACTTGAGTGCTCTCTTTAGAGTAGAATCTTTTCCATTCACAGTGAGGAAAGGAAACCATATGTGAAAGGGTCCATCATCAATATTGCTTTCTATATTGATCTATAACCAATATTCACTTCAGCATCTGATCCTTATATGTGATTACTTGCTTCCAATCTTAAGGCTTCCATGGTATCATTGACATGCATTACACCGTTTTCGAGCTCGTTTGCGAAGCAGTTGTTGATCACTTCAACAATTCGAGAGAAGAAAATTCGCAGAGTTTGGTGTTGTGATATGCAACTAGTAGGACTATGCAAATAAGCCGCAGTGAACAAATGAACAAATAATTATAAAAACCTGATTTTGTTACAACATGATTAGGCAGATGAAAAAAAGAACATGCCTAAAACAATGCAACCCAATTAGTGGAAACCCAATTACAAGTAAGAAATCACACCTTAAACAAAACAAGCACACATGTATACTCACAACAAGAATCTGATAAAACTCACTTTGTTGGAAAAACTAAGTTAACTTTGCTGCTACACTAGATCATCTGGCCCAGCAAGCACAACCTGTCAAGTAAAAATTGCTACATTTAGTTTACATGAAAATCCAAAATGAATCAGTAGATAATCGTGTTAGAGAAAGATGCATCATACATTGCAATCAAGAGCGTGTTTTCTAGCGATCATAATGGCAACATTTCTTTCTTTCTCTGATTCAAAGGTTAACACAAATGATAGCCCTTTTCTTGCTTGCCAAAATAACGTCTTTGCTGCATTACCGACATCACTTCTGACTCCGCATAGCTTCGGTTCAATAAAATGTTAGCTTAAGGATATAGTCGTCAAATTGAAAACTCGACGCATAGGAAAAATTAATACATGGATGAAACAGTACCTGCATCGTTGGAGAGTAAATCTCTCTAGCTTTTGTAATCCAGCCCCGACATAGCTTTATCCTCATTCTCCCCACATTGAATGAATGAGTAGAATGTGATGAGTGATCTTTTCCATTCATCTGAGAAATAACTACCTGCATAACACCAGATACAAATTTCGTAAGAACTGTTTCGCCAAAAAATCTCCACTTCCTAAAGAGTATAGATAACATACATTAAAATCAGTATGGGATTTTCGGAGAAGTGTTTCCACATGGCTTCCGAGTCCTGCAACTGTTACACACAAGATATGTAGCTGTTAGCCTTTGTTTTCTACTTCTAGATACATCAATAAGCTCCAAAGATTACCGCATAACCGCAACTATTTAGGCCAAAACCAAATTTGATTTGGAAAAAAATACAAAAGGTAAGGCCAATAACAAAACTAACCGGTTTGAATGGGATTAGTTGTTAATGTGAGTTTCTTGCCATTGGATACAATGTCCACTTGTAACATTCTCCCAACATCAAGGGGATCAGGAGCATATATTGATTTGTCGGCACCTGATAAATAAAGACGATACACATATTTTTTAGGTCGAGATGTGCTATATTTTCAAAGGCTAACAAATTTGAATAATGTAAGCTTTACTAGAAGAACGGTACCTGAAATAACTTCCCTCCAGCTGCCTTCAGATGACAGGCGATACCACTGGAACGAACATTTTGAAACCTGCAGCACTTCGTTCGAGCATGGCTTGACTTGCAAGCATGAACCCAAAGCTTCAGAACCGTCTAACTTATATGAATGAGATTTATTCTCCTTGTCCCACTTGCTCATTGTTAGCTATCATGGAGAAAAAGAAGTTATTGGAAGTAAAGTATATTTGCATATTAGACTCTCGGGACAGTTAATCGAATAAGTAAAACAAGATACCAACTAACCTCTTTCTGAAGCTGAATTGAAAATATAGATTTTTCTTGAATTTGATCCCTTAGAGCACGAAGTTCATATTCCATGGCCATAACCTGAAATTGTTGCAACATTTTCATAAAAAGAATAATCAGCTGCAAAATTATTGAGAAGCAAAAAGCAATGTATACCTTGCTTGGCTGATGCAGCAATCTGATTCTTCTAGCCTCTTGAACCTCTTCTACTAACCCATCCACATCCTAACCGTAAGAAACAACATATAATGCATGCTTAACAGTTAACGTAGCATAATAACAACTCAAGTTCTTTCATATAAACTCGTGCATGTCACTCTCTTATAAATATAGAAGCATATTTTAGTGCGTAGTGTTTAGTTTTGGAATCGTCAATGCAAAATCGTACATGTACAACCATAATTGTGTAATGAAACAGCATGTTAGAACCTGTGGTTTAGAAGCTTGGATAGCTTTTTCTTGTTCCTCAAGTGCTTCGCCGATTCTCAGCACCACTGCTCTAGCACTCTCAATTTCGGCGCAGGCAAAAGACTTCTCCTGATTAACCAGCTTTTTAGCATCTTCAGAAGCCTATAGAACAAATAATGGATTGGATTTCCTTTCAAGAAACATGAATCATAATATTTAAATGGAAGATTCTATATGGATTTAGAAAAAGAAAAGTTTATGTTAAAAAAATGACCTGTTTGAGAAAGTTCACAAGCTTTTTCACTTCAAACTTTTCCTGAATCAGTTCTCCTTCATTCTGAGTCAACTTAACAGCCAAAGCTTCCACCTGCGAGTTATTAATATGAAGAAAGAAAAAAAATTGATATATGCTTTAAATGACCGAGCTCGGAAACTCAAAATCTGGAAGACTCGACTTTTTCCAGCTATCACAAAGAATGAAATATGGTTTCAAACTTCGAACAAAGTAATGTACTCAAGCACGGAGTAGTATAAAATAACAAACCATTGAGATAGCTTTCTCCACATCCTCTTTATTTCTTCCCGTAAAACGGCCTTTCAAAGATTCTAATGCATCTCTTAGCTTTTTCAAAAGAACATGTCCCTCCAAAGATGGTAACTCTCTTAGCTTTGCCTGAATTCCATGAAAAAAAATCACCAAAAGATAAGGGAAAAATAAGACTCCGTTGAATATAAAATAAAAAAGAAAGAAACTCATGAAATGTGACAAACTCTAATTCCACTAAGACTGTCCCGGCGACAGAAAACTAATACCGATCGAATATGTATTTGAACGGTTATTTCTATCAAGGAAAGGAAAAGAATCACTACTAGGCCACAAGAAAATATAAATAACGGAACCTCATTCGACAACTTAGCAGCTGCAGACAAGTTCTTGTCAAATTTACTGGCAAGGTCACGAACTGAGATACGCTTGTTCTGGTCAGACAAATTGGAAGCTTCTTCTTCAATAACATCTTTCAAAGAAGGACCATGGTTATCCTCAGCAGGCTCTTGAAAAACTTGATGGTCAGCTCCAAGTTTATACTTCGGAAAACTATTAGAAATAAAGCTCACATCGGCTGAAACAGGCGGAACTGCTTCCATTGGCATCATAGTTTCAATTTCAGGACTAATCTTTGTCATGGCGAAAACAAAAGCGTCTGCTAAAAGAATAGATGCAACATAGTATCAAACCTTCAGCTAAGAACATAAACAAAAGGGAAAAGACATTCCAAATCCATCCCCGCGCATAATCACATAAGTTCATTAAATGTAATTGATGATTTAGCAGTTAATCATGCTCTAACACTAAACTAAACCTAACAAGGGTTTGATTTCAATCACAATCAAGTGTTTTTTTTTCTCTCTTACTTCTAGTGAAAACGATGGATCAAGCACAATCACAATGTCAAAAAGCATTCTCAGTTACCAAATCAATTTGAACAAAAGCTAGTGCATCTGAAACATAGAGATCTACAAAACCACGAATCGCCAATTTCTCAAATGCATACTAAATCAACCTACATTCCAAATTTTTTTCTTCATGTCAAATACCAATTTTTTCCACATTTCAATTATTAGTTAAAAATAAAAATACTCACATAGTTGCATGCAACAAAAATGGAAATGTAGGATAGACATAGAAAGAGAGATGAAAGAACTTACATAGAGCCAACCAAACAAAGCCTATGCAGTTTCCATTAAGCAAGATGAATAGTTGTTTTTGGTTGCAGAGAGTAAAGTAGAAGAATTCCAACAACAAGAACAAGAGTAGAGAAAAAGAAGAAAGATGATGAATGTGTAGAAGAAGAAGAATCTAAAGCGTAACCATTAGCGTTACTTTATGAAAAGGTTAAAAAAAGAAAAGCTTAAAACCTGACTCATTTGTCTCCCCTCTCAACGACTTGAATCACTCACTTGCATCATTGTTAGTGTTACCGCTCCATACGGTGGGGTCCACTTTGTGCAGACTCACGCGCCTTCATTACTGTAGGGTCTATATTTATTACAGATTTATGTAAGCGCGTGATGTGAAGACGCGCGTGCGCGCTTGGTTTAATGAGTGTACTGTAGTGAGGTTTATTTTTTTCTCGTTGGTCTTTTACAGCGCGGACCGGTGTTTGGCGGGGTGTCGTTCTTTTGACTAGTGAGTTTCCGGAAATGACCTTTTGGGTTTGGTTTTATTTACGAAATATGCCACCGTTGATTATGATGTTAAATATTTGATGGATATATCATGTTATACATGTCCATGGAATTTGTTGTTGTTGGGTAATAAAAATTTAGCGACAAAGACAAAGTGTTGTGTTTGGTGTTTTTTTTTAGTTAGCCAAACTTGAAAATGTGACAGTTTAAGACTCTATCCGTTTTATTACTTTTTTTCCATTTTTAATTATTAATTCTTAGGAAGTATCTCTGAAATAAAATAGATGTAATTTATTTTTATTGTAAAATTATTTATAGTTGAACATGGGAGATGTGGGGGCCTTGTTTTTCTTGTAACCAATCTCATGTTACTTTCTTTTGCACGACTTTGGAGTATTAACTAGTAACATTAGTTTACGTCACTCATATAATAACATGGAGAGATAGGAACATTAAAATTAATAATTTTAAAAAATAAATAAATAATTATTGAATATATGTATATAGAGATTATTTTTAATTTGATTATTTGAAAATGTAAACAAATGAAAAGTAGTGGCATTATGGCAGAGTCTAGTTGTTGTTGTTGATAAATGTGGTATTGTTTAGATTTGAACCATTCATGACAAGCTAAAATAATTATAAATATTTCACTTGATGAGCTGACAAATAAATATAAATAAAGTTGTAATATTCTTAATAATAACGTAAACTATTTTGTTCATATTTTCTTCGAGTTAAAGAAAACATTTTAAGGCCTAAAACCTTGTCTCAGTGGATTAATCCTTCTACTGTAAAAAGTTCATTTTTTAATAACACAAATTCTCAATCAAAATTGTAATTTTTTATGTTATTTGAAAAAGAGGAGTGTATCATAAATTTGTTATTTCCAAAATTTATACCAAGTTGCATATTGGATGGATATGAGATGACCAAGTCTACACAGAATATATATAAAAAGACTAGTGACTATAAGCTTTCATTTTTAATGACTATGAGCTTTCAATTTGGTCATATAATTTTTGGAAATGCATCTTTTGATTTGATGATGTATATGTAGACAATTTTTTTTGTACAGTAGAGTTTCATTTGCAATACTATTGTTTGTGAGTATTAGATGTGTTTCAAGATGTTTTTCTCAATAAAAAAATAATATTTTAAATTTTTATAAATATTTGGACGCACTCCATAAGATAGAAAGAGTATTTCTCTTAATAAAAGTGTCTACAATTAAGACCTATGTTATTTAATTATTGGACCAAAAATTTTCTAAAGAATTATTAGATAATGTTATTGAATTTGAGTCACATTATTTCAACTTTTCTCAATTCTTTTTGAGGCAATCTTTGATATGAGTTCAATACTCTTAAAGATTTTTTTTAAATGATTTCTTGTTTTTATACAATGATGTTAATCATTCGAAAATACAAAAATAAAAGGGAAGAAGTATAAGTTTGAAATTTTGGATGGAGTTTTTTTTGTCTAGGAACAGAAGTTGTTTCGCAACCTTTTGACTATCCATAATATCGGTATCTCCCTTGATGTGGATCTTTGTTAGTGGTGTCATGGTGAAGATGACACTTGATTAAATTTATCTATATTGTCTTTTTTCACTCTAGATTTCAAGCAGAAATCCTAACTATTTTGCCTCTTATTGAGAAAAGTTAGGCTTCTTTTAAGTTGGCTGTCTTTTCATGAAAATTTCTTCATGATAGAATCTTCACTAAAGAGAATATGTTTAGATGCCATGTGTTAATAAAATATGATGGAATCTCTTGTGTCTTTTACTACAGTGTTGTGGAGTCAACTTTGTATCTCTTTGTTGTGAAATGGCGGTGAGGTTCTTCTGGTATAGGACCTTTAGGTGGATAACATGAGATTTGACCTTTTATTTTGAAAAGACCGAAACAGTTTTATACTGTCCTATACAACAGTGATATTGGAAGAAATGTTGGGCAAATACATTTTCTTTTCTTAGAAGTGATATCTTTGTAAGACTTTTTGTTCCTTTTTTATATTTCACAAGTGGTTTGCAAGAATTATCCTCTACTTGAATTATAACTATTTGAGAGCTTGAAACTACAATTTCAAGAAGGTGTTTTTAGCAGGTGGAGGTTTGTGATTCTATTTTTTTTCTAGTGTTACCTATTATCTTTTCTCAAATGTATGTTTTTCCATTTCTTACTTATGTGTCTATTTATCTAGTTATTTTTTACATTAGGAGAATTTTCATGTTATTTTTCTTCATAGAATTGCAAGTACCACCATTGCCTCTTATTTTCTTCCTAGTTATTTTCAATTTAACTCCTTGTAACTAACTTTCCTAGTTTTTATGGATTATTTATTTAATTTTTAGAGAAGTTGAAGAGATTTATCCTTCTATATAAGATCAATATCTCTTTAATTTTTAGTGTTTAACTAATTTTTATAGTGATAGGTAAACATCGGGAATCAAGGGATGTTGATTTACAATTTTGAAAAATTGGCACTGAAGAAATTACTAGATCGAGTCGCAATCTAGATCGATCTCTTTAAGACATTTTGTGGAATTGCTCAAAGTTATGGAAAGAACTCGCTTAACTGCTCCGCCTCCAGGGTAAAACCGTTCAGTTCTATATTGCACGATTACTACTTATACGGTAGATAATTGATATAAAAATATACCCTCTGATGATACAAAGACCATTCGAATATGGTATAAATATCATTCATAGTATCTGCTATAAAGGATAGTCATTTTAATTTCTCAAACAGAGAGAAATTCAAATAATTCTCTAAAGAGAAATCAATAATGGTCATTTCATCGCTCAAAATGATTTCTCAAACAAAGAGAAATTCAAATAATTCTCCAAAGTGAATCCAAAAATTATTGTTTGATAATTTCTCAACTCAAACAAGAAGAATTAAAATAATTCTCTAAAGAGAATTCAAGAAAATACTCCGAAAACTCAACAAGTATAAAGAAAAGGGACGAGTTAGTGCTTCTCCAATTCGAAAGACGTTGGGTTATGGGTGCGAGGAAGAAAAAAATCAATAAAAGTTTTTGGTGTGTTTTGGAATGAAATAAGTAATTTTCTTATATAAAGAAGTAAATTAGCATAGATATTTAATCTAAGTAATGTGAGACTAAGGAATATTTTAAACTGACACATAAACACACTAATTTTTTCTAACAATGTGGGACTTAAGGAACTTTTGCAAATTCATCTCCATATTGGACATGTTCCAACAATCCCACACTTAAATTTAAAAAAGTGTTTTGAAGTAATGTCAAACGTTTATAAGATTGTGCACGAACAAAGGTGTTTACCACTTGAACCTTTGTGTAGCAAGTAGGATTCTAATTCAACAAGAGTGATACAATTCTCTTGAACTCTATCTCAAACATCAAACTAGCACACATCTTTTTCTTAAGTTATATTGTAATAAGCCCATGCTTTAATGGTCCTGCACATCAGTCCCAATTTAGTGAAGGCTCTGGGAATTTTCCCTCAAAAATCAATAATAATCGACCTAAGTTCCTAAATCGCATAGTTGAGTCTATCAAGAGTACTCATGTAGCTAGGTACTTCCTCGTATATAATATATGTCTCATTAAGAGTTTCTACTATCTCATCATTTTTTCTCTTCAAGATTCATGCTTCTCTTATTTATACTAGCATGATCACCTCATATTACTCACAACTTGTTATTACATATTGAACCTATTTCTTGGGATATCCACTATATTAAGTAGGGTTACCATCATGAGAAACTCATTTCTCTATAGGAATTAGTCCCATATTATTGGATGTAGTATGAACTTTCTCTATAGCTAATCCTTTATTCAAAGAATCTGCTAAATTTTCTTTAGTGTATACATGATTAACTATTACAACTCCTTTAGAAATACAGTCTTTAACAATATTGTGCTTCCTCTTTATTTGACATATCTTACCATTATACTAATGGTTCTCAATTTTTCAATAGCCACGATACCATCTCAATGATCAATACAT